AGGGTCCCGGCGCCCCCGGGGCCCGTGCCTGTCCCTCCCCCGGAGCCTGCCAGCAAGGACCCGAAACGTGCGCGTTATTACCGCGGGTGTCTTTATTCCCCCTGGGAAATGGTGGCCTGGGAGCCAGGGGGCTTATCCAGCCAGGGGGCGTGAACGAAACGGGAGCGACACTCGGTGCCCACCGGTCAGACTTCAGTATTAAGTAAATTAGCTGTAGAAAATTCCAAATACGGGAAATACGGGGTCAAATCTGGAGGCGTATTACCCCAAAGCAAAAGCCCGGGGTTGGCAGTAACAGCCAGCGCACTCGGGAAGATTTGGGAAAACCCTCATGTTTGGGCGGGGAGGGAGGTCTATACCCGTTTTGCTCGCATGGGAGGGGGCTATCAGAAGGCCACAGCCAGTCTCGTACACAGTCATATGGTGTGTACACAGTCGGTATTGTCACTGTGTCGGGCAAAATGCCTCTGTGCAGCCTGACAGAGTTGTTGACATTGCACTTCAGCCGAATTGTCAACCAAAGCCTTTTTATGTGGGATGTGGTCCCTAGTGCCAGTGTGCTGGTATTGCTGACATCCCAGGAAAACGTTTACAGGATGCTCTTAGCATTGCATTATGACCGGGTCTTAATGCAATACGTTCTAGTTCTCCTCATTGCCGAAGACAGGCGAAACCAACTTGATGTTGCTAGACACAGCCTCAATGTATTGTTGTGAAAAGTCAGGTAACTCCATTGGAGCAGGCAGCTGAAATACGGCATCAAACTTAAAACATGGATATACATTTGGCTGCTTCGGGCCAAGGTACGGAGGAATGTGGCCAAGGTCCACTGAGGAATGTGAAGGCTCTTTAGGCGAGTCATGCTGTGAAAGACCAGCACAACCAGAACAAGCACCAGATGAAGACTTGTGAATCCCTTCTGTACTTACGGCAATATAGTTTTATATATTTTTGTAAATAAACATAACTGTATTGCAGGTATCTGACATAATCACCACATTATCTTCCTCAGTGGAATAACCTGTGAGACCCTCAATTTTAGGTAGAAAGATGCAACAATCTATATTTAACACTAACCCCCCTCAAGCTATCCTTACAGTAAACAGAAATTTAAAATATTCAGAGACAAAAAATCATGTGCAACGAGAGAGTACAGAAATACAGCCGTACAGCACTGCCTGTTCATGCAACAGTTCTGTGTGCACTGCCACGCTTGCAGAAATCAGTATTCTCTTCAACAAATGAGAATCCATAGAGAAGGAGGCAGCACCCACCACTAAAGAGATCACACTCTTCATGCACCTACACACTAAGAAAAATTCTCTTCAGCTCGGATGGAAACCCATGCTACGAGTGTTCATGCACATTTTTTCAGATAATAAATCAGTGAGCAAGTTTTTGAAGCCACTAAGTCAATCAAATGAAAATCATCTACTTCTCTATTAAAGTAACCAAAAGCATAAGTGCGCCATATACCTCCCCCAAATTTCATGTTGCAATTGCTTTCATAGAGAAAGCCAATATTTTTCCAAAACATGTAGTATTTCCCTCATATATAAAAAAAAAGCTGGACCGCTCCTATTCCTTTTTTTAATCAAGCAATCAAGATTTAATTGATGAAATACGTGCCTGAATAGCAACAATCAACAAATAATGTAAGCAGACAAGACTGATCAGGCCCACTCACTAAAAACCAGTAACTGCCAGCAACAGAAGAATATAAACAAACTCTCCATCTACAAAATTGTCAGCAACTGAACAGACCAGCAGTAAAACCAGTAAGTTGAACCTAAAAAGCAGGTTGAATCAGGACAGTGAGTCGTCTTGAAATGCTAGTTTTGATACTTGTGAATGAAACTATTCTACCAGCACTCCTACTATAAAATAGCGCTTGTGTAAAGGCTATCCTTTTACACTTGGTTTCCAGCAGAAAGATGTGAGTACTGCACTAACCGTGTGTATATATATCATACTGTCGTGGTTTAACCTCAGTCGGCAACTGAGCACCACACAGCTGCTTGTTCACTCCCCCCCACCCGGTGGGATGGGGGAGAGAATTGGAAGAGCACAAGTGAGAAAAACTCGTGGGTTGAGATAAAAACAGTTTAATAATTGAAATAAAATGATAATAATATGATAATAATAATAATACACAAAGCAAGTGATGCACAGTACAATTGCTCACCACCCACCGACCGATGCCCAGCCAGTCCCCGAGCAGCGGCCCCCCCGGCCAGCTTTCCCCAGTTTATGTACTGAGCATGACGTCACATGGTATGGAATGTCCCTTTGGGCAGTTGGGGTCAGCTGTCCTGGCTGTGCCCCCTCCCAGCTTCTTGTGCACCTCCAGCCTTCTCAGTCAGTAGAGCATGGAAAACTAAAAAATCCTTGACTAGTGTAAGCATTACCTAGCAACAACTAAAACATCGGTACGTTATCAACTTTGTTCTCATCCTAAATCCAAAACACAGCACTGTACCAGCTACTAGGAAGGAAATTAACTCTATCCCTGCCGAAACCAGGACACATACTGCAGTATCAATTTCTGTAGAGTCATTTTACACTCAAATATGAGGAATCAGTCTGCTGCGCGTTAGTCTGGAACTGGAAAGTTCTCTTACAAGCTCTGCTGCCTCAGACAACTCTCTCTGGTGCAGGAAC